CTGTGGTCTTAGCAGTCCGCAAGCTCGTTGTGAGTTTGTTTGACTGCCATGGCTGCCGTGAGGGTCCCGGAGGCACCGAAGTCTGAGTATTCTGCCATGAGGGCTTTTCAGAGCTCATTGTAGTCATGTTTTATGGCCCTTGGTTGCCTTTCGATGAAGTTATTCACTTCTCTATTGGACGTGAGCCTAATTAAGAATATTTTGTCTCCTGGAGATGCGTTTGGTATGCGGTCAGTGTGGAAGTCAATGTCGCGGAGGTATGATCGGGGTCCGTAGGCATGCCAGGCCGGGGGTCAAAGCGGTTTATGAGTCTGGCTATGCGGTCAAAGTCACGGTCGGATGGGCCGAGCAGGTCTCGACCGATAGGGGGCGTGTAATGGGTGTCGCGTCCTCTATAGTCCGGGTAGTTACGTTGATATAGGGCTAAGTCTTGGTGTGCGCCAGGGGGAGTGCCGTGGGGGTGTCTTCCATGGTTAGGGAGGTCCCCGGCGTTCCCATGGCGGGTTGCTGGCCATTGTGTCGCAGCGTATGCGGACGGTCCAGACTTAGAGCACGGTACGTCGTGTGGTCTGGGTACCATGTTCTGATGTGCGCCAGGGGGGTTGTTGTAGGGTTACCTGCCATGTTCAGGTTGGGCCCTCTCGTCCCAATGGCGGTAGTCTGAACTGTGTCTCGTATGGACGTCAGGTGGTCCAGAGTCATGGGTTGGGTAGTCATGTTGTCTGTTTAGCATGTCCATGTGTGTGCCCGGAGGGGTGCCGTGGGGGTCCCTTCCATGGTTGTGGTGGTCCCCACTGTCCCATTGGCGGGTTGTCGGCCGTTGTTCGCCGTGGTCCGTGGTTAGTCCGGGTCTATGGGTCTGGTAGCCATGTGTTTCGTTTTTCATGTCTCGATGTGCTACGGCGGGTGTGGCATGGGGTTGTCTCTCATAGACGGAGAGGTCCCTGAGGTCCCGCGAGCGGTCTGTCATGTGGTGTCTAGCTTGGTTTGTAGGTGGGTCAAATCTGGGGTCTAAGTAGTCGATTTGTTTGTCGTTTTGATGTAGGCCAACTGGAGTTGGGTGCGGTCTTGTTGTTTGGTCGGAGCCGCGCACAATTTGGTTGGGTTCTTTATTACCCCTTTGTCCTTGACCGTGGTCTTTTCCTGTGAGGATACTTACCAGTTCGGCCACGCTCCTGCGGTCCCCATCGGACGATGGGCCGCCGTAGTCGGAGGGAGGGGACTGTGACCGGGAGGCGTTTTCTTGACTGGTTCCGGCCGTCATAGCGGCCCTGATTCTCGATGCGCGGTCAAGGTCCATGGTCGCGCTTGGAGTAACGTCCAGTCCCTGTTGGTGGTCTCTACTTACCTGTTGGTGTTTGTGACTTTCTAGCTTCCGCTAGTTGGCGTTGTAGTTCACCTACCGTGTCTTGAAGCTTTTCTTTCTGAGCTTCGCAAGGTTATCCTGGAGACTGCGGCTAGTTGTCCTAGCCACTGGGTTAGGGTCTTACCTTCGAGTTTTTTTGTTATAGCATCGGACACCAAGATGGAGGTGGCATCCTGTAATTCAGAGGGCGAGCCGCTTTCAAGCGTGTCATAGGCCCCCGGGGAGAACTTTTTGGTGAAGTTACGCAGGAAGTTGTCCACTACCTCTCGTTCCTCCATGTCGTCAGTTTGTTCGCTCGGGCATGGCGAGGTGTCGCCATTGTTGCCCATACTTGAATGAGTGTGTGTGAAGTGTGATTTCGAACGCGTGTGCATGACACGGTGGGAGGAGGAAAGGAGGGAAGTAGTATCAGAGTGGGTTGTTTGGCTGTTGTGTGTGTGTCGGTGCGGATCCTGAGGTGTGTATCAGGCCTTAGTACCTCTTCACCTGCGTATCAGTGAAGAGGGTTGGGGTTAGCAGCGTCGGCGCGCGTAGGAGGGTTTAGTTACGCGCGCGGCAATAGCGTTCAGGGCACTAGCGTAGCGGTAGTGTTAATAGTAGCACTAGTGGTAGCAGTAGCGTCAGAAGTAGCACTAGCGGTAGCAGTTAGCAGTTAGCGTTAGCGGTAGCAGTAGCAGGAAAGTCAGCACCAGGCTAAACAACAACAGCAATGCCGTTTAGCGGTAGCCTATAGCGGTGGTACACAGGAGATTAGCAGTAGGCTAACATTAGCTCATGCAGTTTAGCGTTAGCATATAGCGGTGAGGAAGGGGGAGTTAGCCAAGGCCTAAACAACAATAGTAATGCAGTTTAGGGATAGCATATAGCGGTGACACTCAGGAGATTAGCAGCAGGCTAACATTAGCACATGCAGTGTAGCGTTAGCGTACAGCGGTGATACACAGGAGTTAGCAAAGCCGAAACAACAATAGTAGTGCAGTTCAGCGATAACATATAGCGGTGAGGAAGGGGGAGTCAGCAAAGGCCTAAACAACAATAGTAATGTAGTTTAGGGATAGCATATAGCGGTGACACACAGGAGATTGGCAGCAGGCTAACATTAGCCCATGCAGTCTAGCGTTAGCATATAGCGGTGATACACAGGAGTTAGCAAAGCCTAAACAACAATAGTAATGCAGTTCAGGGATAGCATATAGCGGTGAGGAAGGGGGAGCTAGCAATAATCTAAACAACAAAAGTATCGCAGCAAGCTATACGATTCGCACAGGCACAGCTATACGCAATGGCGCGCTGGTGGGTTTTAGTGTCCGGCCTGGATGTGCAGCACAGCTTTGTCGTGTGTGTGTGTGAAGATGCCTGTGCCGTGGCGAGCAGGCAAAGAGACAGAGTGGTAAGAGACAGGTTTAGCAGGAGGTAAACAGCAGAACAGTGGCTTCTCATAGAGCAGCTGCCATTAACAACATTTATACATATATATGATTTTTCAGCTCCGGCCGCACGTGGCGTGCGGTTTAAAATCTATTTAACCGTGAAAGAGCACACAAAGGAACAGACACAAGCACACTTGAGACAGCGTCTGTGAGGCCCAGCCTGTGTCCTTGGACTGGCGCACAGGGTGGGCTCTGTAAGCTTGTGTTTTGGGCACAGGGGTATTGTTCTCGTGGGAACGGGTAGTTTGCGCCTTTCTACGGTGAGGAATGGCGGCTACTCATACAGTGGCTGCTATCAACAGCATTTATACATAAATAGGACCTTCCAGCTCCGGCCGCACGTGGCGTGCGGTTTAAAAATCTCTTTAGCTGTGAAAGAGCACACAAAGGAACAGACACAAGCACAGTTGAGACAGCGTCTGTGAGCCCCAGCCTGTGTCCTTGGATTGGCTCACAGGGTGGGCTCTGTAAGCTTGTGTTTTGGGCACAGGAGTTTTGGTTGTTCCCGTGGGAACGGGCGGTTTGCGCCTCCCTTCGGTGAGGGATGTTGGCTTCGTCGACAGGCGTCGCGCTCGCAGGCCTTACAAGTCGCTCCGCTCTATAGTCGCGTAGTACCCGATCTGGTCGGGATTTGAGGCTACTAGTACAGCCTTAAAAAGAAAATTGCATGCAGGGGTCGCTTTATCGCAAGCGGGGCGCAGGGGAGCTCGATTGGCTATTTAATCAATGTAGCAGCGAGGTAGCGCACGGAGACGCGTAGGGGTGAGGAGGTGGGGGGTGAGCACTGTGAGCGCTGGTAATAATAAGCCAGCGTTTTTCGGTCAAATCATCAGAGTACGAGTTTATCAATCTAGATATTTGCGCGGATCTCACAAACGGGGCACCAGATATGTAGGGTAAGAAAATAGTGATGTGGAGGGACTAGTCTCCAGGTCTCGCCGTTCCACACAGAGGGATCTGAATTTATTTTTAGGGGCACCAGCAGAGTTTGAAAATCTGCAACAGATCCAATACTAATCTGCCTCGATCAGTCTCACAATCTGATAATCAGCCGAAATCAGCAAGGGATATCAAAAGATTTATAAAAAGGACACTTTGACGATGACTTAAGTTTATCGTGGGTTTATTGACTACATACGAAAATTGGAAAATATCAACGAGGAGGGGTTTGGTCACATTAAACAGAGATGTTAAACATATCACGTGAATCACACATTAACGTGGCAATTAGAACAGTCTTACTTTGACGTAGTCCGTATTGAAGAACCGAGGAATGAAGAAAAGGGGGGGGGTTGGACAGTCCACGTGCTCATTTGTTCGGGCAGGAGAGAGACAAAGGCCAGCCGGTCCAATCCAAACTTTAAATCCCCACACACGTACGCTGCCTAGAAAAGCGTCGCATGTGGAGGCGTCCAGAGAGCCGGAAAGTGGCTGGTGGATGAGAGTTCGTGGTCTCCGACAGCGGGTGTTGTTAGCTGTCCTCGTGGAGGTATTAGGGGCCCAAGTTGTTGCAGGCCCAGAGGTCGCGTTGGAGACGCGTACCTAGGTTGCTAAATTGATTACGAGATGCCAAGAGGAAATTTCTCTGAGTGGCTTGTGGTTTTGTTGTGTCCAAAGGAGGCGCGTCTATGACGTTATCTTTGTGCGTCTCCCTGGACAGATATGTTATAAGGCATGTACACACAATACACACACATTGACGTTCATAACACATATACAGACACACAGCGCATTTACATTACAGACAATGGTACACACGGGTAGAGCCAGTAAAGGTTAGAGCCAGAAGAATACTGTCTTCACAGAGCGATGGTTTCGAATGTCCATCTCGGGTCTGCTAGCGTCCAGTGTCCACTGGGGGGCGTCCGAACGCCGTTGGTGGATCGTCAGTCTGCCTGGGAAGAATATCCTCAGTCCTTGGAGAGTGTGCAGACCCGATTTGATCTTTGATCTCGCCGGATAGGAGGGCAAGGATGTTTATTCCTAGAGTTAATAATTCGTCCCGGTTTGAAGGTTGGTATCTTTGTGACTAATGATAGTCCTCCATTCGACCTTTTTATGTCTCAGATGTCTGCTCTGGGATGGACATTCCCAAAGTCTTATCTTAAGCTGGTTAGTGTTCTGCCGGGGTCAGTCTCTGTCCATGCTCCATGCCATGCTCTCTTTTGTCACCTTACAGAATATTAGGTCGAATCATTACATACCTGATTTTGGTTCCAGTTCCCAGACTTCGCTCAGTTTTTCATTTGCAACAGCAAAAGAGAATGGGCCACTGAATGGGACAGCATTCAGGTCTTGGACCTTCACGGGGATATTGTACTCGTGTGAGCAGAAAGTCATAGTTGCGTTGACCAGTGTAGGTGCGTTGTCGTTGATATCTTTAAGGTAAACGTAGAGCGTGCCCGTGCCAGTGGCTGGAGGCTTGCCTATATATCAAAAATTCAACATTATAACCACATTACCAAATTTGCAATAGTATTTTTTCCATTGTGGTTCATTTCTGTTGGTTTTCCAGAAGCACATACTGAATCTTTTTGTATTATAAATGTACCGGTATTTGATTACGCCAGTGAGCTCAACACTACCGCACATGCTCAGTGCATCGCCAAGTCTGTTTTTGTAGCCGGTAAGCAGCTGACCTTTGTGCCTTTGTGATTCAAAATAGAAGAGATGCAAAAGCAAAAAAAACATGGACGATGTAGGTCACTGAGAAGATGTGAAAGACAGGAGAGGAGTGAGATAACACAAGGCAAAAGACGAGAGAGGACCTAAATAAAAGGTAAAATGTCTCTAGATACCTCTATTTTGCACTGTGATAGAATTTATAGTGAAAGAAAAATACTATTGCAATTTATCCAAAATGTTTTGAGCCCAAATTAAAGTATTTTTCATGAACGTATTGTACTGTTTGTGAACTTACCATCATCAACAGCACCGACTAAGACTGTATATATACCGTCCTTGTTCACGTGGTGCGATTCTTTGTCCATTTTCTTTACAGTTGATACTTTCCCCGTCACTTCATCTATTTTCATCCAATTCGCAGGATCATCGAGGATTTTAAACCTGATCACAATATGATGTATTTTTAAAATGTGCTTTTGTCCATTCAGGTCTTACGTTCCTCAATCCTACTTGTCTGCATGTTTTAAAGTGGACATAGAGTCTGTCGTAAAGTGTCATTGATTGATTGATTGATACCAACCTGATATTCTTCACGTCCGAGTCGATGTCATGAACTACGGGAGTGAACAGCACTTTTCGCGGTGGATCTTCTTCCTTTTGATACACTCTCGTCTCCTTTTTGTCAAAAGTTGGTGGATCGTTTGTATCAATGACCGTGAGGCTGATGTTGGCGGTGCTGTGCTTCGGAGGCGGGGCTTTATTATGTTTACAGTGAAACAGCTTCTCCTCATTCTCCACTCCTATCACTATCGAGGTCTTCGTTGTCCGTTCAAAGTTAAGCCCCTGAAGGAAACATACTTGATTAGTTTCAAAACAATCTCTCGTTGGTCTTCATCCCATAAATAAAATGACAGCTTATGGGAATGATTGGGGGAAAACAGAATAACTTTTAATAATCAACTTTTAGCATCTTACAGTATAATATAATCTACTCAGCTGGACAACTTACGATAGTTAGATTTCAAAATTATCACCTGGCTTTTATAATATCAAATGGCTGGGCTCCAGCACCACTTTCTATTCTTTGAATTTAATTTAATCAAGCTGGTAGCCATCCATGATCTGAAATTTGCTTTTGTCTTTGTTTCAGTGTTTGAATTACTATCCATCCATTTTCTTCCCTTTAATCCATTTCTGGGTTGGGGGGGTGACAGTCAGAGCTGCACCCAGTACACTTAACACCAGCCCCTCACTGATACTCCTGCAGGTGGTGAGTCCACAGAAGCCTTGATCTTTCAGCTGGGGCTTCAGGCAAAGTGTCTTGCCCAAGGACACAACGGCAGCAGATAGCAGTGGGAGTCATGAAATAGGTCTTGTGGTGAATTAGTTTGTGTAAGCCCTCAGTCGTACAGGGATTAGTCAAAGCAAAGGAAGGTTTCTCACCCATCATCTGTACTTCTTAGCAAGTTTTCCCGACGTTTCGTCCTCAAACCAGCGGACTTCTTCAGGGAATGAATTCTCAGACCGTGCGTTGGGAGATTTATAACCTATGGGTGTGGTTAGCCACACCCTAATCCTGATACTAACTCATAAACAATCTAAGGTCTGTTTGAGCATCCCAGCAGACAATAGGTCTGTGACATGCTAAGGAGTCAGGGTCGTTAGCCTCAGCAGGGTCGTTAGATCTGCTCCCTTCTACATCAAGCAGACCTTAGATTGTTTATGAGTTAGTATCAGGATTAGGGTGTGGCTAACCACACCCATAGGTTATAAATCTCCAACGCGCGGTCTGAGAATTCATTCCCTGAAGAAGTCCGCTGGTTTGAGGACGAAACGTTGGGAAAACTTGCTAAGAAGTACAGATGATGGGTGAGAAACCTTCCTTTGCTTTGTGGTGAATTAGTTTTTCCAATTGTAATAGTTTAAAACATTTCTTCACATTGTTATACTTGCAGTGTTTTTACTGGCTTTTTACACCTTGGTTGGAGAATAAAAATACAATTCTCTGAGTTTAAAAGAGTATAATGCAAATTTTTTGACATTTTACATTGTTCCCTCATCAAAACTTGGAGTTGATCCATTCATGCTAAATATCAGAGTCTTCTGGCACAAACATGTAACAGCGCCCCTGATGTATCATGTTTCTTCTTTAACTGATGTCCAGTGCAAGTAAATGTTCATGATAATGAAGCTGGTCAATGTGCACTTGTTTACTAATTGTTACTAACTTCTGTCTTCAGTGGTACAGAATGAATAATTACCTTTACAACCGATAAAACTCCCTCATTTGTTTTGGGGTCAGTCACAATTTCATAGTTATTATCATCATTTCCACTGATGAAATAATATTTTGCTCTCCATCCTGGGGTCAGCGGGTTGTCCTTATCGTCCACAGAAACCCTTACAACATCATTTGCAGTGACCGATTCATTGACTACACCAGTATACTGAAAAATAGAAAACCAACGTATTAAAGCAGAACAAATCTGATTCACTGTTAAGCTTTTTCAATCGTACTTAAAACTGGGGTACCTAACTTTACTAAACAGAGCAACCATGTAAAAAATATTCTCACTAGTTTTTGGCTCTTAAACAGTCTCACAGAGTTTTCACATGTATGTATGTGGCCTACAGGCCAGGAACGTCTGTGTCAAAGAGAGTGCGTCTGGACACGCAGCCATGAGGGCAATTGGAACACAGGCGGTTGTATGGCTGAAGTGGTATGACTTTAAAGAGTGGGTGTGGTATACCAAACTAGTATTGTTTAACCTCAGTCACATACTTGGCACACATACCTACTGTACATGTGAAAGCCAGACCTCTGAGGCTAAGCAGGGCAGGGCCTGCCCTGTGCTCACTTTGAGCCGGGACCTGCCCCCACTTAGGACACCAGGTGCTTCAGTGAGGCGGCCACATAAATATGAGTATGGTGTGTGTGAATGGTTGGTGGTGGTCTGAGGGACCAATGGCACAAACTAGTTGCCTCGCTTCTGTCATCGTGCCCCAGGGCAGTTGTGGCTACTGTTGTCGTTTATCACCACCTTGTGGTAAATGAATAATGACATGTGAAGTGTCTTTGAGTGTCCACAAAAGTGCTTTATAAAACCAACGCATCATTGTTTAGATGTGACTGAGGATTAAAAAAAAATGTAAAAGAAAAGTGAAAAAGAGAGGACTGCCCTCACTTCAGCTCTCTGCCCCAAGTGTTAATGAAATATCTTGTGTTTTCTTCTGGTCTTTTTTCATCACAAAATGTATTTTCATGAGAGGAAAAAGTGAGCTACACCACCTTATATTAACTTTTGTGTACATTATTCAAATAATTCAATTACGTATTCTTGTATAGTCCTCAATTAACAGTAGTTTTCTCGGAGGACTTGACCAAACCGTTGATTTTGCCAACACAGATCAGAGATTCAAACCGTTGAAACACAAAAAATGCAATGATAAAAAACACACATCGAGGCACTGGTCCATGAGGGGCAGATGACCACTGTCCACATACGTTAATACATGTCCATAAATATTATGCATAAGTTTGACAGCACCCACCTCCGATTTCTGAAACGTCGCAGATGAGAATTGGCATCCAGATATCGATAGTGATTTGTGCTGTGGAAGAAAGTGGTGGCGTTCCATGATCCTGACCTTTGCAACGAGATCGTACCTTTTTGCTTTCTGAAAAAATGCAGGTTGGCGTTATTGAGTACCATTTCATTTTGATTGTCAGTTGTGGCAGCCAATGATGGTGTCTCACATCGTAGTCGAAGCATCCATTCATCATAAGGTGCACCGAACCATCAATGGTCTTCAACTCCATCGGTGGCTCTTTGGGGTTCTGCGACACCAGGCTGAACGTCATGGTCGAGTTTTGGGCTATTTGGTTCATCTGGATCTGACGCTTAAGTCTCACCGGCAAATAATCAGAAGCTGAGAAATGACAAAAGGTGTTAGAGAGTTATTGCGCTGAGGCCAGGAGGGACTATATCCAACTTTACCTTCCTCATAATCTTCTCTGATAAATAATGTTATCTTGGTGTGTTCAAACTTTGGTTCATTGTCATTTATATCCTGGATTTTCACATCAAAGGAGAGCTCTTTGTCAAGTCTCTCTTTGGTAACCTTGCCAGGATGTCAAACTTAATCTGAAAGAATTCCACTGTTAGTAAACTTGCGCAGATATTTGTTGATTTTTGCGTAGCATGCTAGCTTACGTGGAAAACGCTTTTAAATTCTCTGTCTACTTCTTGTGCGCAAAGACTTTTCCAGTCTGTTCGTTGATGGTGAACACACCCAACGGGGGCTCATCCACGCTGGCGCCGCTGATCTAATATGTGTCCGCTGCCAACCTTTATCTAGCTGGTCATTATGCTTCTGTAAGAGAGCAAAAGCATGGGTTGGAAGGACTAGCTTCCCATCGGACACAAATTAGGGCTCAAGCGTTTATGCCCAATTAACCTAGTGCAATATTTTTTCCATCGTTCGTTGCATATCCTTATCTGTTTAAACTTAAACGGTTAATTTTTTAATAAGTACTCATACACAATTCCTCCGACTGTTATTTTTTCGGTTTTCCTACGTATCCTTGTGCTGGTCAGGTCAAATTACTTTAACTTCAGCCTGAACCGGTCGGTACGCATATTCCAGTAATTCGGTTGTTTGCCAATGGCTTGACCGAATATAACTTCTGCTATACTACTATTTGACTACGTTTACTTCACCCTACCCATGGGCTGGAAATTACTACGGTTTACTTAAATCTAAATAATAAGAATAATGTATCATTTTAATGGTCGTTGCTGTTTTTGGGTACCCAGGGATAAAGAATGGGGAAAACCCACTGCTTGGGAAATGTCGTTGCATACAGGACTGTAGTAGTAGAGCATACACTGGGAGCACTCAAAATATACAGTAGAAGTCAGTGAATGGCTTCTTAACTACCTAATAATTTACACTGCTGGACGGTTAATTCATCACAAACCATGGGTCTATTAGATTCTAGTCACACTCCTTGTCGCCCTTCTGTTACTGTAAGTTTGACTGGTGTACCTGTTGATATCACTTTCGGGTATCGTGCCGCGGGGTCGTGCCTCTGTGATTTTCAAGTGTTGTATAATATACCCATCGTTCTTTTGGATCGACGCAAAAAGTTTCTTCCTGTCGTCCGTAGAGAGAAGTCGGATTTTAGAAAGGTTATGTGTATGTTCAGTTTGATCTTGCATGACCTTTAAAGTTACCCCGTTGTTGGTGCGCCGAAGTCCTGTGTCCATACATGCCAGTGCTGCAGACGCAACCTGGGAACAAAAATATCCAGGCTTGTATTCAAATTCATACCTTATCTTTTAAATACGACTACTAAATCTATTTGAATTACCGCCTACAAACATCCAGGTTTAAAATTGTTGACCCTATACCTCGACATCTGAACCGGGTCCAAAACAGCACTAACTAAACCAAAGTTTACCATTTCTTCAGTTAAAAAAGCATTGACAATTTTAAGATCCCGAAAGGGGTTTTGGTTTAGTCAATCTCTCTATTGCCAAAATCAGTCTTTAAAGATGCAGCAAATCTATAAGACCTCAATACTTGGTGTGAAAAACAACAAATATCTTCACAAATGCAGACCTTTGAAGGAGACTACACTGTATCCATAGTGCTCCAGCTGCTGTACACACATCACAGTATAAAGCTGAGGTAACTAACTTTCAATGGCAGAAAGAATAACTACTAAAATCTCTCCCACACACAGGTATCTCTAGTTTCCACATGCACGTTGTGCAGGTTTTTCCCGTGAATAAGAGAGCGCCAGCCCTCTCTCAGCCAGATTCTCAGTATGTAAATTATAATGTATTTTCTAATAAGAGAAAGACAACATGGGATCTCTTTTTTTATGAAAAACAGACAAAAGTTAGCTACACTGAGTACTCTGCACTGCTAAATGCCTATCGTGTTGAACTTAGTGCACTGTGTAAGTCATTTTAAGTGTACTTAGTTCTTTATATGCATGCCTTATTCAAATGTTTTTGTATTATTACTTGTTTGCACCCTAGCTTTAGTCTCTGTCTGTAAGCAGGAACCAGATGTATCATGGAGTGATCTGAGAAGCCGAGGGACTAACAAAACCATTGCTGCCTTGGGAACAGTGCAAAAAGCTCCGCGCACGGTGGTGTAACAGTGATCCAGAGTGTTCTCCTCTCTGGTCGGGCATTTGATAAACTGTCTATATTTGGGTAATTCCTGGCTCAAGTTTCCCTTATTAAAATCCCCCAGGATAATAATCAGAGAGTCCGGGTATAAACGTTCCATACACAGTACTTGCTCTGCGAGTGCGCGCTGAGCCTCGCGCGCGTCCGCGCATGGCGGTATGTAAACAGAGGCAAGAATGAATGAAACAATTTCACGAGGGGAGTAAAATGGTTTACAATGAATGAAAAGATATTCAAGAGCAAGAGAGCAGTGCTTGGAGATCACTGTCACATCGTTACCAGTTTATATTGACGTAGAAACAGAGCCCTCCGCCTCTGCTCTTCCCTGAGAGCGCACAATGGCGATCCGCGCGGAACAGCCCAAAACCCTGCAGTTCCAGAGCGCAGTCCGGGATCCGCTCATTTAGCCAGGTCTCAGTGAAGCAGAGGACACAGGATGTGGTGAAGTCCTTGTTTCTGCTCATGAGCAGGCTGAGTTCGTCCATCTTATTGCCCAGTGAGCGTACATTGGAGAGAAAAATGCCGGGGAGAGCCGTGCGCGCTCCTCTCCTCCTAAGACGCACGAGCAGGCCTCCGCGCTTTCCCCTTTTACGGGCCCACACTTTTTTGGCCCGAACATGGACTAAATCAGCCGCAGATGCCAAGAAAACAGGCAATAGGTCCATGGGGACGGTGGGTCGGATGTTCATAAGTTCCTCACGGGTGTAGGAACAGCCAGATGTGCAGTTAAAAAGTAAAAACAATAGAAAAAGAGAGCAGCAAAGAGCCATGTCGACCATACGAGGCGCCATCTTTCATTCATAATCAAGTTTGTTTGACTATTATTATTATTTCTTAAGTGCAGTGGAATGTTCTCTGCACTGTGTTAGGAAGAGCCTAACACTAGATGTCAAGGTGACCCAGAAGGTATGAGGCAAACATATTTGGGAACAAGTCATTAGGAAACATCTGGTTTGCTTTAAGTTATCTGGCCACTGCCATGATTTCCATTTATGGAACTCGGACAGAGAGTATTAAAACACAGGAACCAGGACAGGATTTTCAGTCTTGTGCACGGACTCCATGCTGACTGACGGTTTTCCTCATGCTGAAACTAAATGAATAAAAAGCACTCTCTTAACTTTACTTTCGGCTTTTGGTGAAAGTTATTTGAATTAAAAACCACTACACCGGGTTACGTGGAAGCAGTCTAAGCAGAGACGCCCAGACTTCCCTCTCAACACACACTGCCTCCAGCTCATGACCATATGTGATGGTGGGAACATAGATTGACCGGTAAATCGAGAGCTTTGTCTTTCGGTCCTGAATGGCACAAGCTTTTCTTATTTTTTTTCTTTCAACATTTTAAAATGCACTTAGTTTGACACCCTGGTCTAAACTAAAGTATGTAGGTATGAATCATAAAGACTTTGCTGGTCAAGATCATGTATGAGGGACAAAAATTAAAGCATACATGATTCTGTTCATTTTACTATCAAGTTCTGAGTATTCATGAGGAAAAATACACAATATGGTAATGTATGTATCATGTACCTACAAATTGCAAAGTAAGAGTCCTGAAAGCAAATTTGATAGATGTACAAATGACTTCCACTTAAAGCCTCAGATAGGTTCTTGTCTATTCTAAGGAGATGATATGATGCGTACCTGCTACTTGCTCGTGATCCCTATAATTAACAATTCCCACATGTGGATGGAGAGTGGTGAAGGGGTACGCAGCTACAGCCGGCTTAGCATTTGAGATGGCCCTCAGTAGAGACGATTTACCAGCGTTCGGGAAGCCAACCTGGAAACGAAACAACATTTATACTGCATACATCAGATGAAATGGCAGTCAACCAATAACGGGAACTCATCAGAAAATGCTTGATCGAATATTCAAATCCTTTACAGACAACCAAATGTACAGGATGTATCCGTCCATATCTTCGCATCCCTCAGAAGATATGGGCGTCATAAAATGAACTCACAATATTGCAGGACTTAATAAAAAATACATTTGCTGAATTGGGATCACTGTATAAGAACGTGATATTTTTCTTGCAGGCTCACTCTTGAGATTTTATCTATATTAGACATAATAGATAATATAATATAGATATAATATATAATAACCAAGTTCATTTTTCATTTAATTTTCAACCCCTTTATTAGTCCATTTCTGGATCGAGGGGGGGACAATGAGAGCTGCCACCCAATGCTCATAGCACCAGTCTCTCGCTGATAACGCAGCCTTGTTCTTTCAGCAAGGGCTTCAGGCAACATGGGGTTAAGTGTCTTGCCCACGGACACAACGACAGGAGGCATTTGTGGGAGCAGTTGGAGTAGATCCCATGGTAGGCTCAAACCCACGACCTTCAGGCCCAGAGGCCAATGATCTACCAACTGAGCTACTGTCGCCCCCAAGTACCCAAGTGTCACTCCAAATGAGTTTATGTCATTTCTAATATGAATATAGCCTCATACTTATGTGATTTATGGAAGTACTAAATTACATTGAATTGAATTGAATGTATTTTGTGCAGAAATACTCCGCAACACAAAATCCCAAAAGAAATATTCTAAAGATCATTGCATGTCAGATATTTAAATATAACTCCTGAAAGCGTATGCCAGAAAACCCTCTTCCTACGCACCAATCCTGCATGTGCCATAGTGCGTAACTCCAGCTGTAGGATCCGTTCTTCGCCGACCTCTCCTGGAGTGGCCGTCATTGGAGCGCGGTTCTCATTGGACAGGAAAAAACGGTTCCCCTTTCCCCCGGTTCCGCCAAACACAGCCACAAACTCCTGGCCGTGGTCAGAGAGGTCCACGATTGTTTCGCCCTGCTCCTTTACTATGGTGCCCAAAGGTACCTTTAAGAAAGAAACAATTCATCAACAAACAGAAACTGAAGTTGATTCCACTGTTTACCGTGCACTCACTTTTATAAAGGTTGGACAGCCATTGCGACCATAACAGTTCTTGCTGCCCCCCGACTGGCCGTTCTGCCCCTGGTAAATGGAAACGACCTGTGCCAGGGATTTAATCACCCGGTCAGCTGTAAGTAAATATATCGATTAGATCTTTGAATACTTCTTAGAAATTCAAGCCCATTTCCACCAGCCCAACTTGGCCCTACTTTACACCTACTCTACTCTAATGTAATCTAATGTAATGTAATCTAATGTAATGTAATCTAATGTAATCTAATGTAATCTAATCTAATGTAATCTAATGTAATCTAATCTAATCTAATCTAATCTAATGTAATGTAATGTAATGTAATGTACTCTACTCTACTCTACTCTACTCTACTCTACTCTACTCTACTCTACTCTACTCTACTCTACTCTACTCTCGATTGGGAGTGTTTCCACCAGCTCATTAACAGGTACGTTTCTTTTTCTCTTGTTTAATCCAAGCCGACCTTGCACTAAATGTTCTAACTGACAGAGATAAGCCAGAGTGCAGCTCTGGAAGCCATGGTTACCACAGCATTTCCCCAGACTGGTTTGGTGTGGGTCGGCTGCTAGCATACCATAGAGTACTGGAAACTAGGGAGAGAAGAGTAGAGTCGAGCCAATTAGGGCTGTTAAAAAACGGGGCTATGAATATTAGTATGTTCCTTTTCACCGACCCTTAATGATGATGCTGCCCCCGTCTCCTCCGTTCCCCCCGTCAGGACCGCCCCATTCTTTGCGAGGTTCACTGTGGAAGCTGCAGGCGCCTTTTCCACCGGCGCCGGCCACCAGTCTCACACGGCGGTAGTCCACGAAATATCGAGTCTGAACAGAGAATTGGTTTCAGTCAATATATATCCATTAGAAATTTGAAAAATATGAGTTATTGAATGTGTTTTGCTTAACTTTATTCTACTTTCACAATATTTTTGAAGTATCAGACATAAATTCCAACTAATCACTTTCAGGCACTGCTAAGTTTACCATCGGATTGACCCTTCAATGGCATGGAATTGTTTTAGATTCAAATAAATAGAAAGATAAACCAGATTAATTAATATAAAACAGAAAGGCTCTTTGCATTGATTTGAACAGTTTCCATGTCTAAGAAGAGAAAAATATGTAGATGAGTGTGTTCACAGTAAAGTGACAATTAAAGTATCTGGACTTTAAAAGGGCATAACTTAAAAACTAAAATTACTTTCATAAATAGGAAAAAAGATTTCAAACACAGACACATTGAAGATATAGTGTGGAAAAAATCCAAAAAAAGAAAACAAATTTTAGCGACATTTTAAACGACTAAATCAGCCTCTGATTGGACCATTCTACTGTGACGCCAGTTACATAGAAAATAAAATGTCTTCGGTCTGAAAAAGTAGAAAATGAAATCCCACAAGATTTACATGGTTAACACAACAGAAGGAAATCACAAAAATAATTAATTAATTAAATTATCCCTGAAAAATGTATAACGGACGTGATGAGGACGGTCCTCTTTTCTCTAAAAATTAAACTTGAGAAAAAAAAAAATCTGGGCTGTTTTCACATTTAATTGCTTGACAATATGAAAGTATCACTTTGCATCTACTTTGTGTAAAAATATAGAATCTCTGAATCAAATGTGGACCTCTAAAAATACCTATCAAACTTCCACAAAGCCCATTCCGTCAAATCATCACGTCCGTTACATAAAATAAACAGGGCCACTATAGGAAACTTGTCTAATGTATAAAACAGTTATGTTCTAGCAACTTCTAATGAACAGAGGTGGTGTTTGGAAACATGAAAAACATAAAATATCTTCTGATTATTAAAATCTAATTTTTGGCCTTTTGTCACACTTTTGTGCTCTTTAGTGTGAACAAGCCCAGTTATCCAAAATATCAAATAAAATAAGAACATGTATTGGTAATAATTGGCCTATTTCTACAGGACACAGGGTCTTGTAAAAGTAACATTTTGAGAAAATATATGTTCATCATAATAAACCTATCATACTAGTATAGTACTTAACATCCCTGTGACTGAGAGCAGATTGGCTGAGTGAAAGTGGTCTCCTCTTATTTGCGTCTAAAAAGCTTATGTGAAAGTCCAAAATACATGCACGTAAAACTTTTGATAGAACTTTTTTAGGGGCTAGGAGATAGTAAGAAGGATAATAAAATAGTACTAACCAACCATTAAAAAATAAAGTTGTGTTGTTAATGCTATGTCTGGAGGTTGTAAGATATTTAAATATTGTCTAAAATGGTGTCTTTGTGCTTGAATCGCTGGTGGAGGGGCCGATGTTACGAAAGGCAAACAGCCACGCTTTTGTCAGTCTGCCCTAGGGCTGGTGTGGCTACAGTAGTACTTTACCACAGTATGGAGCGAATGAATAATAACATGTGCTGTGTCTTTGCTGTTTAATCATTATTGCCATTATACATTGACAAGAAGTGACTACTCACCAGTTTCTTCTCTGACAGCTCTCTCTTTGAGTCTCTCCGTGTTTTGGCACACAGCACTCGGTCTGTGGAGAACCCCCTGGCTCCTCTGGACACCCGGAGTCCGCATACTGCTAAAACCCTGCTTCTGCGACAGTCCTTAACACTCGTCTCATGTTTTACTCTCATGGAGAAATAATGTGGTTTTATGTTGTCGAAAACCCGCGACCACGAGCGACATGTCACCTTTGCAAACATCGGAGCGGTGGTTCTGTCATTGAGGCTAGCCTTATGCTGCGTTCAGACCAAACGCGATTTCTGCGGCCAAATCGCGTCTATCGCGCGGCTTGGGCCGCTTGTGACAAATTGTGGCAGCCGCTGTCACAGAGAAACTTGGCCGCGCGGCCAGGACACTAGAGGGCAGCCGCTGTCACAGAGCGTTGAGAGCGTTTAGGGGCGGGGCTTGTCTCTTTTGCCTGTAGCTTCCCAACATGGATGTCAGCGAAGGAGTTGCTTGGCTCTATCTGTTAAATAAAGCGAGACAACGTCGTCAAAGGGCGAATTGACGACGTGTCTGGATTCATCAGATAGTCCGTAGACGGTTGGAGTTTGGTGAGTTTCACCATTTGCTCCGGGAGCTGCGCTTGGATGAGGGTCGCTTTCAGCGATACTTTCGTCTCTCCCTGGCCCAGTTTGACGACCTACTGACCCGCATTGGCGCTAGGATCTCCTACCAGGACACCAACTACAGGCGCTCTATTCCAGCTGAAGAGCGCCTGTCCATCTGTCTGCGGTTAGTGTTTTTTACCCCATTCGGAATTCCTAAATACTTACAAAGTGTGTCACTTTTCAATCACAATCCACAATGTAATAGCTCAGAAAACAGTATTATGCAACAATATGGTGTCTATGATTACTGTCTATGATGTTTACTGTCTACTAGTTTAACGTATTTTATGCTACACAAGTTTTGTCACGTGATTTTTATGAATGTAATTGTGATAAATATGTTCATATCATTTTGTAATTGCAGGTTTCTTGCCACTGGGGACTCCTACAGGACCATTGCGGGGAGCTTCAGAGTGGGCATATCCACCGTCTCCATGCTCATCCCAGATGTGGTGGCAGCCATCTGGGACTGCCTCGTGGAGGAGTTCATGGCTGTGCCTGGAGCAGTTCACTCTTGCGCCGTTTGAGATCTACCACAGTACTTACTTCATTCTGAGATGTCTTCCTTGTTCGTCCGAGTTCCCTTCGCCCTCCGGCGTCGGACGTCGTCACTGGATCCAGACGGTGGAGGACTTCACCTCTGTGGGTGCCACCACTCGAGGGAGGAGGAGGATGCAACCCACGTTGTGCCCGCGGATGGACCCGTTCGTCCATTACGCGACACGTGAGTGGCCTAAGCCCCTAGCAGCCAAGAGGCCTGCTCTGGGGTACGACATATACTGCAGCGGGCAGGACTGGTCCTGGACCGGTGATAGAGGATTCAGTCCGCATGGCCCTGCAGCCCTCCGCATCCGTGTGGCCCGGCACCAGACCTCTCCTTCCCTCCGAGCGGGACAGGATGTCTTGCCGATGCTGGATAGATATTATGCCAATGTGGCACAGGGAGTCACATTGGCTAACAACATGACTTTCATCACGGGGGCCCTGGATAGGGCGTTCTCCTCTGGCCAGGCGCTCAGTGGAGACCTCCTGTCACAGGCGAGGACCACCTCGGCGGCGATCCTGCGCATGTGCCAGACGCTAGCCGGGGATGGTGGCCAGGACACCGAGGATTCAGTCCGCATGGCCCTGCAGCCCTCCGCATTCGTGTGGCCCGGCACCAGACCTCTCCTTCCCTCCGAGCGAGACAGGATGTCTTGGCGATGCTGGATAGATGTTATGCCATTGCAGCACAGGTCCTCGCATTGACTAACAACATGGCATTCATCACGGGGGCCCTGGATATGTTGCTCTCTTCTGACCAGGCGCTCAGTGGAGACCTCCTGTCACAGGCGAGGACCACCTCGGCGGCGACTCTGCGCATGTGCCAGACGCTAGCTGTGGATGGTGGCCGCTCCATGGCAGCAGCCCAAGTCGGGCCAGGCACCTTTGGCTTGGGCTGGCTAATATCAGGGAGGCGGAGAGGAGGCAGCTGCTGGACCTGCCCACCTCTCAGATGTCCCTCTTCGGCCCGGACATGCAGGCCTGGGTGGCGAGACTGGAGTCTGCAGCTAAAGACTCGGCTAGGCTAGCCCCGCACCTAGCACCGAGGCGCGAGGCCCACCAGCCATTACGGAGCCGGGACAGAGGCAGAGAGCGTTGGCCCGGGAGGCATCCTGACCCGTATCCGCGCTCTGTTATCCATCGTCCCCCCTCGACGAGGCCCCCGGGTCCAGACAGACCCATGGGTGGCTCGCGGGAGCAACGCACCCACCACCGACCTCCCTGTGGTAGAGGAGGCCGGGGTGGAAAATTTTTCCTTCAATAAAGGCCGACCGGCATTTCATCATTACTTTTCTGAGTCTGATTTGGGGGTATGTAACATGTCAAATATTGTGAATTCTGATTGTGTTACTTCCCGGGCACATAACGTTGCTTCGCTAGGCCTGCAGCCCCAGAGAGGGGCGTGCAGTGCACTACGCGAACTACGAGCTCCGGTTTCTCTGATCCATACTATGCCCTCCCAGAGAGAGGTCAGGCGGAGGGATCTGGTGAGTGATATGTGTGTGCTTCGGCCGAACGCGTGTTAGCATCTCTGAGCTACAGGGCTAACACGGGGTTTCCCACTCCAGGGGCTTGCCCCCCCCTCCATGAGGCAAGAGCCAGGGGGGGGCACAGCAGCCGAGTCACGTGTGGTGAGCAGAGCTACAAGGCTAACACGGGGTTTCCCACTCCAGGGGCTCGCCCCCCCCTCCATGAGGCAAGAGCCAGGGGGGGGGCACAGCAGCCGAGTCACGTGTGGTGAGCAGAGCTACAAGGCTAACACGGGGTTTCCCACTCCAGGGGCTCGCCCCCCCCTCCATGAGGCAAGAGTCAGGGGGGGGCACAGCAGCAGAGTCACGTGTGGTGAGCAGTCCCGTACTTATGACGTCGGGCCTGCAGAACACGTGACCGCCCCCGGCGCTCACGGTGTGACGCAGGGGGCCCCCCGGCCCTTTCGGCCACCCCCCCTTCCTGCTAGGAACACCAGGAGAGGGCGGGGCCGTGACGTCTCGTGTTTCAGCTCCCGTTCCGCCCCTCACAGACTTCTACAGCATCTGGAGGGAGCTGGGTTTGGATGACAGTATATGGCTGGAGAAAACATTGCGCAGGGGTTCCGCACTGCAATTCTTCCGAAAGCCACCACCTTTCCGAGGCGTACGGGCAGTACGCTCTCAGGTACGGGGATCAATAGAGGCACTGCAAGCGGAGGTCTCCTCTCTGCTGAGTCGAGGCGCAGCAGTGGAGGTAGACCCGCAGGACGCCACCAGGGGGCTGTACTCCCCTTACTTCTTAGTGCCAAAGAAGTCAGGCGGGGTGCGTCCCATTCTGGATCTGCGCGTGTTGAACGAGTGCTTTTCCAAACGGAAGTTTCGGATGCTGCCCACAAAGCAGCTACTCGAGTGTGTCAGGGAGGGAGACTGGATGTCCTCCATAGACCCGACAGATGCGTACTTCCACATGCCCATAGTGCCAGAACACAGGAGGTTTCTGCGCTTCGCAGTGGGAGAGAGGAATTACGAGTACTTATGCACTCGCGCCTCGGACTTTTCCAATGCGTGGAAGCGGCACTGGAGCCGCTCAGACGCGCAGAGGTAGGAGTTTAACCTGCTTAGACGACTGGTTAATTCTGGCATCATCCAGGGAAGTGTCACACGCACTGGGTCCTGTCCCACATACAGCGCCTGGGCTCTGTGGTGAACAGGGAGAAAATTAATAGTTACCTATTGTAACTTAAGTTCTACGAATAGTTGCACGTGTTATCCCACTAGCGAAGTCCGCTAAGGGACGTAGCACCATGACGTAGAAGCAGGCTGCAACCGGCTCAGCGCATGATCTATCTCGGCCTGCAGCTAGACTCTGTGACATTCCGTGCTGCATTGTCCGTGGACAGACGGATGAATATTACCCGTCTGGCCCGGGAGGTTCTGGCGGGCCCCAGAGTCCCCGCTCGGCGCCTCAGGTCCCTGCTGGGAATGATGGCGGCGGCTCATGCTGTGGTGCGGCTAGGCCTGCTCCACATGAAAAATTTTCAGAGGTGGTTCTCGCGCCTCAGGCTTCACCCCTCCCGGGACGGGGGGAGGCTGATCTGGGTTCCCCAAGTGGCAGCATCGGACATCAGGTTCTGGCTCACTCCGGGTCTATTGCGGGACGGAGTGACTCTGGCCTGCGCCGTGTCTCACGTCGAGGTGTTCACGGACGCGTCGCTCGAAGGATGGGGCGGGGTCCTCGGCCAGAGCTCTGTAGGAGGCTGCTGGTCGGACTCAGCCCGTCACATCAACCTGCTGGAGATAGAGGCAGTGCACAGAGTACTGCTGCACTTTGCCCCTCAGCTGCAGGGGAGACACGTGATGGTGCGCTCAGACAACACCACAGTGGTCTCCTATCTGAACAGGCAGGGGGACACCAGGTCCCCCGCTCTCCATCGCATGGCGACGGTGACGCTGCTGTGGGCGGCGCTTCACCTCCTGTCTCTCAGGACGCGCCACGTCCCGGGAGTCCGGAACGTGGGAGCCGACAGGATGTCCAGGGGGGGGGCCCACTCCAGGACGAGTGGGGCCTGGCCCCACGGGTAGCTGCGGAGATCTGGATCCCAGGTGTTGCCCGCTGGAGGGGGTCCTGGGGATTCCTACAGGAGCTCTTCGACAAGGGGAGGGCTGTCGCTTCCTTACTTCTTCGGGTCACGACGGATTCGGGGGGTTCACAGCCCGTTCTCATCCGTTGGTAAAACGTTTTCTGCGGGGGGCGCGCAGGAGGAGGCCCCCGCTCCAGAGAACGCCTCCGGTTTGGGACCTCAGGGTGGTCCTTAGGGGGCTGTCGGGTCCGCCTTTTGAACCGGCGGCGGAGGCGAGTCCCGAGTGTATCGCTTTTAAGACGGCCCTCTTGCTGGCGTTGGCGTCTGCGCGGTGGAAAAGGCGACTGCTGATTCCACAGTGCAACCTCGCAAAGAAATTTTGGGGCAGGGTCCTGTCCGGGGGGACGGAGGAGACGGGGGCAGCACT